CATCGGTAACGCTTGTTACTTACCATGCTGATAGCTGGTGTGATCCGTTGGTAATCGTGGGGACTTTTATGCGCGCCGCGAGGGGCTTACGCTGTCCTAATTGCTGCCAAGCAGAGATTCGGTTTGAAAGAGCCAACATACGAATGTGAAGAATTTGTTAGCAATAAACGGTGCTTGCGGAGGAGAACCGGGTTTTCCAAGCCAAAGATAACCTATGAGAGTGTCACGTACGTAACTGTGGCAATGTGCGGATTTCGGTGAGGCGAAAACCCGCGGCCATGTGTAAGTACGGCCAAGCGGGGAGCCAACCGCTGCGAGGAAGCAGGTAGTTTATTTCCGGGCGTTCCAACAAACAAAGTGCATAATTTGCATCACAGATTATCAATGTCATGAGTAAACCACGTGGTGGGACCGACGAAAAATAAAACTATACATCCATACGACATAACATGCGGCAACCAACCCACAGATCACAGATATGCAAAAATCACGTTTATCATGTGCTCGTTGGAATGAACCCCAGTTTGGCCTCCAGCTTCCATAAAGTAAGCTACTATCTCCAACGCGTGAGTAACTGCAGTGTCCGGCTACCTGTACCGGCGAACGGGGACACGCCAACTACATGAAGCTGACTAGAAATCCACTTGAACTGCGGCAGCTCTGCTGAACGGTTCTTGCTCTCCGCGCGGGCTGTCGGTCAGGCGTCCACCACAGCCTGGCTGGACTCGCGCTCGCCACGCTCGCACGGCCGTCGTCCGGCGACGAATCGGCACCAGTTCTGCAGCAGGGAGCCGGTGACGACGGCCGGCCGACGCCGGCGCCGCTCGCAGCCGGTCTGACCGCTCGACACTAGGTGGCACTGGTGCGCCAGCAGCGCCGCGCACGCCGCCGCCAGCGCTAGCGAGTACAGCGCGCCGAACAGCGCGGCCGCGTCGCTGGCGACAAGAACGAGGCTGATCAGATCCGGCTAAATCGACCCAGGTGGACATGCTGTTTTTTAAAACAAACTGCCTAACATCGTCATCTTCGTTGCCTACTCAAGTGCAAAAATCAAGGCAGAGGGTCACATGATGCAAAATTAGTCATCATGACCTCCTCGATGTCAAGCAGGGCCACTGGCCCTAAACAGGCACCAGTGACGTTTTGCTTACAAAAAGCATGTCTATAAGTTCACGGTGGTCGCATGAGAAGGCTGGGGCACTTTGGACACCAGTCTGGAGTACCAGTTTTGACACCGGTCTTAGGTCATGACCTCAAATTTTCTGTGAGTTCAGTGAGTTCACGCACACGCCAACACATCCGTGTCTCTAGCTCGATCAGTTTCTGGATCTCAAGGGGGTCAAAACTGCCCCCCCCCCCCCACCCGAGTGAATGGTCTTCAAACCGGCCACTCGAGCGCGTGTAAACCGGGAGGCTGGCTGGCATAGGACTACGCAGTACACTGGCTGAGTCGACTAAACACCTACATGGACCGGTCGTATGTAACGAAATTCAAAAGCTTTTTATCATCACAGACATCACACGTCGATGCTTAGCTGCCATCCGATCGTAAGTCTGTTACCTGGCGGCCGGCGGCCGGCAGCTGGCGGGCCAGCAGCGGCAGGCACTCACGCAGCGACCGGCCAGCGGCAGACGGAGGTCAGCGTTAGCTGTGCGGCTAGCACCAGTGCCAGCGTTACGCACCAGCAGGCCGGCTACGAACGGCCGCTGGTTGGCGCCGCCCACGCAGCAGTCGAGCCTGCGACACGGCAACGGTCACACCAGCTAATCATCGCCCCAGGAGGCGTCACGCGCTGCCCGCGCGCCTTCTCGGCCCCTGTTGTTTTTTTTTGGGGGGGGGGGCAATGCAGTGCCACCCATGCCAGCAGATCGTGATCGTCTTAGTCATGTGCATGGCACATGTGAGGGTTTCATGTCAGCATTTCTTCCCGTTTGACGTTACCAGTTAGATACACATGGCGTGAACGTATGTGGGCAGAATTGCTGAAATTGTTTGCGTGCTCGCGCAAAGTTGATCGAAGCTTGCTTGCGGCATGCGATAATCCTTTTTGGTTTAACCTCCGCTTAACGGAACGGGGTGGGGGGTCTGACAGTTACTTGGAGCTTTCATAAACAACTTGGCAATCCGTAAAGGTGTGATGCTGATTTCTTCAGCGCACACCGACATTTTAAACGTCCTACAATTTTTCAGCACCCCTGTTCAAACAACTTCTGAAGGTCACTTGTTGGCAGTTGGGATCTGTTCTTGTTTGTTATATGAAGTATAATCGTAAAAGTATGAGTATAATCGGTTTCAATGCCAGTGATGGCAGGCCTGACTGTGTCCGAAGGTAACAGGTCAGGTCACCAGAGCTTCAGCTGCATTAAACATATCAAGTGTTCTTCTGTTTTGTAGGCTCATGACATCTACACCTGAAGAGTGCTTAGCTACAATTCACCGCATTAACAACATGCGACTAATTGCCGTGAATTTCTTGGGTCCGGGTCACGCTGGACCTAGTGGTGCTCAGTGCAGTGATGCATAACGGTGATTAATTTATTGAGTTACCAATGTCTATGAAGCATGCAAGCTGCCCTGCACCACCTATGACTTGTGATCGCAGTTGCGATATGTGTCTGGTGCATCTGAGCTGCCCTGCACCACCTATGATTTGCGATCGTAGATTGCGAATGTGCGGCCTAGTACACCCGAGCTGCCCCCGCACCACCTATGACTGTGATCGTAGATGCGGATATGTGGCTGGGACAGCTTGGGCGCGTTTGCTCAGATTTGCTTTCCATTGCATATGAACTGTATTACGCGAATTGTTGCCATACATCGAGACTTTGTGACCTCGTTTGACCTGGCAGTCACGACGACCTTTCACACGGTTTCAGATACATTTCATCTGAAAAACTTTGTTCATATTGCGCCGAACGTCGCTTATCGCATAACTGTAACATGGGTAGTGATCACTTACCATATGGAGGCAATATCTGCCCAAATAAGCAAACTCGGTCTCGGTCTGTAGGAGGCCAGATGCAGAGAACAGAGTTTTTAACAGGCTGTGAGAGTGCCAAGTAGTTCAAATTGCATTTACTCGATGATCGTCGCACACATCTGGACTTCATAGCCTCGCAAGACATTCTGATCCGAACCATCTGGCTTGACCTCAGCCGTCGAAATTTGCCCTAAGAACGAGGAGAAATGGTCAGCTTTGCCGATCACCACTGCATCAGTCATTCTCTCGTCACCCCACCTTTTTCAGTATGACAGCTGCGGCAATGGACCGTATATGCCAGCTACAATATAGACATCTGTATGATGCTATCAGCCCCACTGAGAAGGTTGTATATTGACCTGGAACTAAGCAAACAAATTCATTAAGATACCTTAGGCAGCGGGCAGCGTGTTGGTCTTCATCTCGTTGCCTTATCTGCTTTAGTTCAAAAGTTAGTTTGGGGGCAGCTGTCAGACCTCTCCCTCTCGGCGGGCGAGGGTGTAAAGCTGGCTGCGTCGGGCGAGGGTTGAAAATTTGCTCGCAAATTGTGTACCAAACTCTCCGTGATTGATCTGTGTGTAATTCGGTCAGCAGCAAAAACATTACGCATGTCGACACACAGCAGGATGCAAGGTCGGCCCCTTTTCATGTGCTGGGGCTACATGACGACTGATTGGACATATGTTTTAGTGCAGCCATCACAGAGCTGATGTTTCGCATACAACTCCATGTACAATTCAAGATGTCATCAGCCGTGCCAGATTTCCTCACAACTCCTATTGGGTACTTCTAGCCTCGCACACTCGTACAAGTTCGAGTACCTTTGTCGCATCTCCCTAATTTCTTTTCGCATTCAACAGTCGTTGACACCCTGAGGCATAATGAGCATTCGTGGTGAAAATCACGCTATAACCCCCCAAAAACTCGCCGGATGCTGTTTGCTTCCTGTCACGGTGAGGCCACACCGGTTATTCTCTCTCGCGTCCCTTGCTCAGTGAGGAGCCAAGCGGACGCCACTTTTTTGGGGTACTGTGCTTAACACAGCATAACCGGTGGAAACCAGTGCATAACCAGTTGGAGAGGGTGGGTTGCAAGTCGACCAATTATGCATAACATCAGTTATGGAAGGCACCTTGCAAATAACGAGCAATTCAGTACTAAACCGCACAAAAACAGAACCAAATAAAATACAGTAACCTGTAGCCACACCCCTGCCAGCTCTGCCAGGAGAACTGTGTTTCTACCTGTGAATGTGCTACTCACCACACACAATGGTGGTCCCGAAGTTGAACGCAACGACCACAGATTGAACAGTGAAAGGCCCGCCACGGTCGGGGCGACGCGCACGGCTCGCAGAACCACTCCCCATCTTTGAGAGGCGCTGACAGAGGTGCCCTCTTTTGCAGAGCACAGAAGCCACGATTTGTTCTCACGCGGTACCTGTGGGGCAAACTGTCCTGATTTTCCACCCCTACTGAAACAGGCAATGGAAGTACAGGGAAATGAAGTCTATACAAATGAAAAAGAAACCATGGGATAGATGCATCATAATTTTGTATCACTTATTTGAACACATCACCTATACATGCAAGCTTACAATTCAGGACATTTGGGGGACCCATGTCCCAAATATTCTTTAAATGTTGCTATGCTCACATTTGTTAGGCATCCTACTACAGTCATTAAGTTACATACTGCCTACATGACAACATAATGTGTAATGCATGATACTTAACTGCAAAGACTGTTTCAGACAAGTTTCCACAAGCTTATGAGCATTCACCAGACATACAACATTTGAAAGATCCCTCAATACTCACCAGCAAGTGAGAGCCATGGAAAGGAGAATTGCAAATGCCAGATGGTCATTAACAGTTACTGTTGACATAGGAGCTACAATCATTTCAAAAGCTGCCAACAATGTGAAAAAGGATGACAGTATCCACAAATAGTAGAACTGTTCTTGGTTGGTGACGCAAAGTCATACGAGACAATACAAGTATGCCTGGGAGACAAAATGCAAACGTATAATGCAGCTGTGCTGAGAGTGGAAAGAAGCATCAACAGGGGTGTAGAGATGATGGAAACAAGCAGCTCCCATGAGCATGGTCTGGCACCACCAAACCATGGTATTCTTAATCTGTCTGCTACTGTTGCCTGGATTCGGTCGTAGTTGGACTCAGGAACTGAAAGGCGCTTGATCCACCTACAGAAAAGAAGTGGCACTGTCAGAAGAAATAATTTACAGCATTGCACTGTCCTAAAAATTGCTTGTTGTAACTGCAAAAGCTTGATGTTAACATGGCTGAATTTTGGCATGCTGCTTTCCAAAATTAGTTACCAGCTGTTACCGCTGGCACCACAAGAAGTGTTTTTTTTTCATGAGCAAGGCTGAACAAGTCAAACAGCCTATTCAAAGAGCAATGATCTCACTCTGTTATAAAGATAACTGGTGGAGCATACCTGTCACATGTGTCATCAACTGCTTCACAATCACAGCAGACTGCAAGAATATGTGACTTTTCCCCTTCCATGTTAACATATTCACAGCAGCAGAGTGGCTCTGCACTTCCCTCAACCCTGAACAAATTGCTATGTTGGCTTTCACTATGGCTTGCAGTTGCATGCATTTCAGAGGCTGTTTTGTTTCCTTTTTCAAAACATATTTTAATGCTGATATCACCAGCACATACAAGCCGCCAAAAAATCACCTGGAGGCAAAATACAACTGTTTTGACATGCCTCAAGCAATTTCATAAGAACATGAGATTGATCAAATATCGATGTTTCTGTGCACGGTCAACTTTTCGAGTGGAGGCAACCTGAGCAATAGCTGATAATACAGAAAATAAATGCTACAACATAAGTGCTGCCACAAGCTAACTTAAAACGGGGACATCTTAAAAAAATATTTCAGCATCTCAACACCAAAATACATCAATCAAGACACGACTGCAGACGCAAAGACGTCCAATCCCGTAAAAGACAAGACCCTAGACCAGATCAGGCGGATTCGCTCAAAACAAGCGCAAACAGCGGTAGGGTGTAAAAGACCAGCATGTGACGCAGACACGCAAGGATTCCAACGCGACTTGTCCGATCGCCTTGAAACCTTCATCAATCGATTCCGTGCATTGAGGTGAGTCATGGGGACGCTATTCAGAAACATGACCTGTGGTCAAACGTCTCGAAAACGCAAGTGAAAAATTTTACGTGTGAATGCAGATAGCTCAGCTATCGGAGCCTACTGGACCGGTCACTGTGAAGTCTTCACCATTGCATGCCCCATACCTGATTCCCTCTTAAAAACCCAAATTTGGTCATCCTAGGTCAGGTCAAAAGCCGTCACGTTTCACAAGATCCAAAATTTCTGCTTGCGGACAATTTACAGCTCAAAACCTATCAAACATTGCCAAATCCTTCATCATTGGCTGCCCCCAACCGGATTTCCTACTGCAGTTCCAAATTTGGTGGCCCTAGGTCAGGTCAAAAGTCGTTCGCCGTTCGCTGATGATTAGTCTTCATTCCGAGGTCTCTAACACAACCTTAACTGTATTATCATGGTGACACGCACCTGAAAGCTAAAAATGTACCCTTGGCTTAGGACAGATAAGTTCTGTTGAACGTTCAGCTTAAATTGGCGGGGGAGATATTTTTGTGTTGAAAATGTGGGGGTTGAGCGCAAACAGTTTTGCTATTTTCATGGTTTTCGGAGGGATGTTGTTCCTTAAGCAGTCAATTAGAACTTGTACCTAGTAAATCTAAATATGACGCAGATAGTACATTTCTACATTTAGTTTCCTGGGAAGCGGAAGTAACCGAAAGAAATAACGCCGTTTGGGGCGTATCTTCTTCAGAAGGGTGTATTAGGGGATGCGTGACACCCTCTAGGTTGGGAATAAATGCGTCGAAGATAAGTGAGTGGCCTCTGCAGCAGTATTGCTCGTACGAGACGATCCCAGTAATTGGCAATTCTTGGTGGCAGTATTTCAAAATGCCGTGTGTTTTTGGGGTGAGGGTGCGGAGGAAAAATAACTAGACACCTCATTATGCGTTAGGCCCGGGCCGATATATGTGCCACTAAACGTAACCTTGTGACCTAACCATGTGTCCTTTCCTTGGGACTATTATAATGGCTGGGTCTGGCTCGCGGTCAGCTGGCTCAGGGACCAATGAATCAGTACCATCTATTTGTGTTTCCACATACTGTTAACACTGCTACTAGTGTGAGAGTGCATGTAATTATTTCATTTTGTATTGGGGTGATAATATTTTGCTATTTTCTGGCTTAAGTTGGCATGATGAGGTTTTTAAACAAGTTCTATCTACTGATATTCCATGATGAATGGTGCATGTTTTGATTATTGCTTCAATATTGTCAGATGTAGCAACAATATCACAGAAAGTGAAAGCCAGCTTCATTGCATGAAGAGCTTATGTTTTTATGAAGTGTGATGCTGCGATGGTAATTGAAACAAACATACTCTGAAAGATTAGCCATGAAATGATCTTGTAGCAGTTCAATCCATTATGATCTGGCCTGGGCCACACATTTCAGAGTGAGGATTTGTGCACCTAGGTAGCATAGATGTCCAGTGAATTGGATGGATTTTTTTGTAGCTGACCTAGAATGGGTGTCCTCTTCAATTGGAGTTGGGGGTGGGGTTGAATAAAACACTACACTTATATGAGTGATGTGAGAATTACTATACTTAATGCATCCATTGCTTTAAACTGGCCAGTAACTATAAGGGGCAGGCTCACTTGTGTGTCATGATATTATCTTTTTGTTATAGCTCTTTGTACTTTCAAGTGGAAACCCACATATTTAAGATGGCATTGGTACTTTAAATTGAAATGTTTAATCTATCATACAATCAATGTACTGAGGCCAAAATTTATGAAATGGATAGCAGCTCAATATGTTCAATGTAAGTCATATGATGAGCTATTTTGTGCTGTCATGTCAATGGCCAGCCAGTTTGAGCCAAATCTCACAACCTCCACATAGGTGTCACTACCACAGTAATCACTCAACCTTGCAGGGTCAGCAGCTTCCTGTGGTGATATAGAATACAGCCAGGACAATTGGGCTGGCTGGCCTCTCTTATCACCAGAAATTACCCACATAACCAGGAATCAGGTCAAAAACTGTAGTTGACTAATCTGCAGATTCAATTTTAATGTCCAGTTCTTCCCATGTTGCACATAACAGGATAGCCTTATGATATGACTTCTTTAGGTAAAAATGATATGACTACCTGTTGAGAAACCTGCTGGCTACAAAACCCTATTAGTGATTATATAGATATATAATACACATGATTAGGCCACTAATGGACCTCAAAATTAAGGTTTTGATGGCAACCTTGTCTCCCCATTCCCACCTTGCATAGCAGCATGTAGTGAAAGTGACAAGAAAGTGAATGATCCATGTAGAGGTGACAAATCCATCATTTGATCCAGCATGAATTGATCTGACCAGTTATCCACACATGACAGCATCAAATAACCAAACGTTTCATGGACTGTTTTTGAAAACCACCAGGATTATGAAATTGTCGTGCAGTAGATTAGTCATGTAATCCCTCAAATACATATATTCAGAGTGCTTAAGCGAGGTCTTAACCACTCCAAAAGGCTGGCCGTAACACTCAAATGCATATCGGAGTTGAATTTCGCGCCATACATAATTGTTGAAAGTAAATTTCTTGCACTAGCTAGCCACCTTGTTCAACTTATGCCGCTTTCAAGCGAATTTGGCCACCCGTGTAGCGTCTGCCGCTCTCTAACCTGCTGTTCACGGACGACGGGCTGGTCAGATAGCGCCCGCTCTTATACAGCGGGTGCTTAAGCTGATTACGACGCGAATACGAGCAATCAGGAAAGGCTCATGCAATGAGTGCAACTGGCAGTCACATGTGTTAGGTTCAGTCAGCACGGCGTTTACCCTGGCCCTGAGGGGGGAGGGGTGATGCAGCCACCCCCTTAAGGTTGCTGTGGATACCTTTTCGGCATGTCGTGCAGTCACGCCCAAATCTTCGGTAGCCTATTGAGAATCCATTGCGTGTCCTCGCGCGGCCGGCTGGCACTGTTACATTGGGGAGGCTCTACGCCTTAAATGTATGGTCAAATGCATAAGATGGTATTCCATTGCATGGTGACTTGAACAAAACACACTTTTTGATTTCGTATG